TAATTAAATAAATGCAACACATCTTTACATAGTTAAACAAATGCAATACATTGTTCCATAGTTAAACAAATATTCTGTAACAACTTTCTCTGCTGAATAAGAAGCTCCAGAAAAGCTGGGAGGTGGTGGTGCACTCTAATCCCAGCACTTGGGAGGCAGAAGTGGGAGGATCTCTGTGAGTTCGAGGCCAGCCAGCCTGGTCTACAAGAGCTAGTTCCAGGACAGGCTCCAAAAGCTATAGAAAAACCCCAAAAAAGAAGTTTCACAAAGGTAAGTTCAGCTTAAGCCGAGTGTGATAGAGTGCAAGGTTCATTCCATACTAAGTATAATGGGAAATAATTAATGTCCTAGAGTTCAGAATCTGGGAATCACGAGTAGTCTCAAGGAGAGTATCATGTTACATGCTGAGGATACAGATGTGAGCCAGATCTCTGGTGGATGTACTGATGTCACTGCTCAAAGTGTTTACTTTGAAATAGAAAACTCTCACCTGAACAGTCATCAGGTACTGAAAACCAACCAAAAGTCCCAGGCTTTGAGAACACAGCAGACGTGGTGACTCTCGCTTTGGTCTAGAGGACCAAACAAGCAGTCAGAAGAAATGGTAAAGTATGGTTGATGGTTAGAAGTGAGCAAGGAAATGGATATTTGGGAACTGGAAGGAGTATAGTTAGGCCTCAAAAGATAGTGGCATTTGTGTAAGCTTGAGAAGGGGAGAGGTACGCAATCCAATGCTTAGATGAAGCACTTGAACACAAGGATGTTCAGTGCAGTGGTCCTAAGGCAGTAGTGTGCCTGGTAAGGCTGAGGAACAGCGAGGGAGATGGGAGTTAGCTGCTAGCAGGCTGTAGGATAGAAGGTCAGAGTGCTGGAAAGACGTGTATGGAAAGGGGCAGGTCACTAGAACCTCGTAGCTAGAAAACATTTTGGCTTTAATGATGAGTATAAAGTCAAAGTTGAGTGATGTGGGATGGCCTTTTGTATATGGGTTGCTTTATTGGTTGATGAATAAAACTGCTTCAGCCTATGGCAGGGCAGAATAGAGCCAGGCGGGAAATCTGAACAGAGATACAGAGAGAGAGAGTGGGCAGTCAGGGAGATGCCATGCTGCTGCCAAAGCCAAAGACGCCAGAAAACCTTACCAGTAGGCCACAGCCTTGTGGCAATACATAGACCAACAGAAATGGGTTCATTTAAGATATAAAAGTTAGCCAGGAATATACCTAAGCTATTGGCCAATCAGGTGCCTTTTAGTGTTGTGATTACTCTAGTTTCTGTGTGATTATTTGGGTCTGGACAGCTGGGAAACAAAAGCGCAGTCTCTGCCTACAGCGATGTTTTATAAGAATTTTTCTAAATGAAGGTGAATCGACCACAGGGGGACAACAGTGAACGCTTTCCTGTCTGGAGAGGAAATCAGCTTGAGTAAATCTGAGAAGAAACCAATCGACCAAGCCTAAGGGAAAAGGCTTCTGACCGGCTGGCACGAGAGCAAGCTTCCTTAGTGCCCTCCTCCCTCCTCCTATTCCGCACCGACCAGAAGCATGTCCTGTGCTCAGCCCCTCCATCAGTCCCTGAGAAAGAGGAACAGAGTGCAAATGTTTAGATCAGTGGCTCTCAAAGGATGATCTGTGGCACACTTGAAAGGGTTGCCCCAAAAATCCTCCACAGGGGGTCTATGAGTTCAAAGTTACTTCTAACACTAAGGCATTTTGCCTTTCTCACTTGGAGTGTACAATGGGGTGTTCCAGATCCTTCCAGAAACAGCATCACAGACAGGATGTAGAAACAACCTGAAAATCTGTTATGCCTTCTATTGTCTTTGCATGTAAAGATACTTGCATGTTTTTAAATGCCAGCAAATTTTAAAGTAACAGATGTTCGTTAAAAGCCTGCTATTTATGTTGACATTGCTGCTTAGGGATTTTTGTTTTTTATTTCCATAGTACGGTATTTATCCACAGATGCAGCCTATGCAAAGGGAAGTTTGGGAGACCTTGGTACTTTACTGTGTGAAGCAGGTCCCGAGACACAAAGGCTGAAACCTCTCATTTATTCAGACAGGTTGAACTGACTGACTTAGCTAACCCAGGAGTGAGTGCTCCCCGTTTCACTGCCAGAATGACAGGGTAAAGATGAAGCCTTAATTGCTCTTTTAAAGAACAAATTCATATTATGATGTTTTCTTGAGAGAGGAAAAAGAGTGACATTTTGGTGGAAGAGTGGACAACAGAACTTTAAGAATGTCTCTTGGGTGCAGAGGGAGCAACCACACCCCATTAATGGTCTGATTTAGGGAGCAAGATAATCACCGGCAGTAATTAGTTTCTCGCTAGCTTCAGCCATGCATCCCAAAGCATCTTGCTATGTTTCCGGCTGTCATTCATGTGTATTCAACATCTAGTCCATCTCTCTCTTCTTATATCCAGTATTTCTTTTTTTAAAAGCAAAGAGCCTTTATTTTAATCACGATAGTATTTCCTTTTTTATTGAAAAGAAAAAAAAATTCCGCCTCCTCCCAGCCTCCCATTTCCCTTCCCCTCCTCCCACCCTTCTCCCCCTCCCCCCACTTTTCTCCTCTTCCCTCTCCAGTCCAAAGAGCAGTCAGGGTTCCCTGCCCCATGGAAAATAAATCCAAGGTCCTCCCCCCTCCATCCAGGTCTAGGAAGGTGGACATCCAAACTGGCTAGGCTCCCACAAAGCCAGAACATGAAGTAGGATCAAAACCCCGTGCCATTGTCCTTGGCTTCTCATCATCCCTCATTGTCCGCCATGTTCAGAGAGTCTGGTTTTATTCCTTGCTTTTTCAGTCACAGTCCAGCTGGCCTTGGTGAGCTCCCAATAGATCAGCCCCACTGTCTCAGTGGGTGGGTGCACCCCTTGTGGTCCTGACTTCCTTGCTCATGTTCTCCCTCCTTCTGTTCCTCATTGGGACCTTGGGAGCTCAGTCTGGTGCTCCAGTGTGGGTCTCTGTCTCTATTTCCATCCATCACCAGATGAAGGTTCTATGGTGATATGCAAGATATTCATCAGTATGGCTATAGGATAGGGTCATTTCAGGTTCCCTATCCTCAGCTGCCCAAGGAACTAACTGGGGACATCGCCCTGGGCACCTGGGAGCCCCTCTAGGTCCAAGTCTCTTGCCAACCCTAAGATGGCTCCCTTAATTAAGATATGTGCTTCCCTGCTCCCCTATCCAACCTTCCTTTATCCCAATCATCCCGTTTCCCCAAGTTCCCCCCAACCTCCCCTTCTCACTTTTCTCTCCCCATCTCCCCTTACCCCCCTCCCACCCCACCCCCAAGATCCCAATTTTTGCCCGGCAATCTTGTCTACTTCCCATAACCAGGAGGATAGCTATATGTTTTTCTTTGGGATCACCTTCTTATTTAGCTTCTTTAGGAGATCAAATTATAGACTCACTGACCTTTATTTATCTCTAGAAACCAATTATGAGTGAGTACATCCCATGTTCATCTTTTTGGGTCTGGGTTACCTCACTCAGGATAGTGTTTTCTATTTCCATCCATTTGCATGCAAAATTCGAGAAGTCATTGTTTTTTACCGCTGAGTAGTATTCTAATGTGTATATATTCCACACTTTCTTCATCCATTCTTCCATTGAAGGACATCTAGGTTGTTTCCAGTTTCTGGCTATTACAAACAATGCTGCTATGAACATAGTTGAACAGATGCTTTTGTCATATGATAGGGCATCTCTTGGGTATATTCCCAAGAGTGGTATTGCTGGGTCCAGGGGTAGATTGATCCCGAATTTCCTGAGGAATCGCCACACTGATTTCCAAAGTGGTTGCACAAGTTTGCATTCCCACCAGCAATGGATGAGTGTACCCCTTCCTCCACATCCTCTCCAGCAAAGGCTATCATTGGTGTTTTTGGTTTTAGCCATTCTGACAGGTGTAAGATGTATATCCGGTATTTCTGCGCCTTGATCTTCCATCTAGGATTGAGGGTACGTGTCGTCCTCATTTCTCTCTCTGGTTCTTTGGTGACCGTGGCGTGCATATTTCTTGTTCTCTTTTTGTCCTTGCTCTCAGGAGTCACTTAAAAACCCAAGACTGTTTTTCTCCTCCAGTAAACCCCCGGCCAGAACCCCACCACCTCGCCCTTTACTGGGATTTCTCCATATAGGTTCTTCCTTTCCTCGGGGGAATTTTAGGCAGACACGGTAGGGAGGGGCAGGGGGATTTGGCGCTGTGCCGGTTATATGTTTTCTCTGCACTCACCGCGTGGATCTAGGGAGTTTTTTCATCAACTTACAGTTCACAGGTGCCATTTCTTAGTTTTCCCCTTGCAGCTGTCTCCTCTCTAGGCCCGATTCTTCGCCTAGTTTGATTTTTTTTTTCTCTGTTTTACTCACATCACCCAGGCTAGCCTCGAGCTCCCACTGTACTCGAAGATGACCTTGAACTTCAGTTCTGCGGGACCACAGACGCGCACCCTCACGTGCCTGCGCGACGTGAGCGGTCTGGGGACTGAACCCAGGGCTTCACCGACAGTATCCTGGCCCCTAGTTTTACACGGATTTTGTACCATGGACACGTTCTGCACTCAAGATTCCCGAGGCCACTACCTCCCTCCGCCAGGGCCTGACCTCATTTTGGGTGCCCTTCGGTGTCTCTCCATTCTGGCGAGCGCACCCGGCTCTCCTGGGAGCCCCACTTTTGCTCCTTGAGGAGCCTTGGGGTTCGGGGGGCGGCTCGGAGGCCGGGCTCTAAAGAGGCTAGGACCCTCCCCCTGCCCCCGCGGAGAGCTGGGGGGCGGGGAGCCGCGGCCGGGTGAACCCGGGCGTAACAGGTGCGGTGGCCGCAGCTGCGCCGGGGAGAGCCGCTCGGCGGCCTTCGCTCGGGGGTTTTCGGAGGCTTCGCCCTCTCCGAACCAATGCGGGTCGCGGTTGTTCGTCGCCTGGCAACCGGCGGAGCCAATGGGCGGCGCCAGCGCGGGGCGGGGTGGGATGGGCGGCCGCCGCGGAAGGCGGCGAGAGGCCGGCAGGGCGGGCTAGAGGCTGCGCGGAGCTGCGGGCCGGACGGGGGAGCCGCTGCGTGCCGCCGCGGGTGCCGGCGGGCGGGCCCGCGGGCTGCGGGAGGCGCGAGCCGCTCCCGGTGCGGTGACGGTGAGCGGCGGGATTGTGACGCGCAGCCGGGGAGGCCACCGGGCTGGACGTGGGCGCAGGCACCGGGGCTGGCGCTCGGCGGGCTCGGCGCGGCCGTTGCGGCGGTTGGAGAGCGTTGCTGCCCGCCGCCTGCAGCGGGAGGTGCGTGGTAGGTACCGGGGTCTCCCCGCGCCCTTGCGGGATGTGACGCGGGCGAGCACGGGCGGGGTCTGCTCGGCGCGCGGGCTCGGCGATTTCTCAGAGGCTACCACAGGACTTAGCGAGTGGTCCACGGCTGCTGCAAGGGAAGGTGCTTCGTCGTGGTCCAGCCCCACGTTTAGGGGGAGAACTTGCATCATCGCCCCGGTAGGCTTGCTTGAGAAGTCATTTGGCCTCGGGTTTCTCAGTGCAGTTCAGTGAACGGCGAGCTCTGGTCAGCATGCATTTCTCCTAGTGCAGATCCCCGGGTTATGCAAGTCACCTGGGCCCAGGAAATAAAACTTGCCAAATAATTCCTCATCAGCACCAGTAGAGGAATCTTGGCATTAACACCCGCAGTTCGGGCTCCTTAGTCCTGAGTGTCAGACTAATAAGCGGGGACGCTGATGCAGTTGTGAGAGCTGGGATTTCCTTCTAGAGTCTAGAATCTAGACAGTATGGAAGGTGGAGGGTTCCCCAGCCCAAGGGTGAGAGCTTCCTGGATTTGAGGTTTGCTTCCATTCGGGTTAGAGTCCAAGCTGGGAGTTACATGAGAATATTGCTGCCGTGGAACCGTTGAGCTGGAAGGAGACCCTTCTAGCCCATGATTTAGTCTCGAGCTGGAGAGGTCTGTATATGATATGACATGTTTACAAGCCTGGATAAAGTTTGAAAAGATCTGGATTAGAAACATGCTGTCTTGAAATTTGAACAGTGGCAGATTTGTAAACTTCAATCCAGCCAAACTTAACCCGTCCAGTCTCCCTCCTCCAGGAGAGCCCGTGGGCCCAGGGAGTTGACAGCGTTCATTCAGACTAAACGAGTCTGAAAAGCGGTGACACTTCGTCCCCCGCCTGGTGTGCATGAAAGTCCCTCACACAAAATGGTTCTCCGCGAGGAGGATTAGGAATGGATAGAATTCAAACCAGGGCTTTTTTGGTGCCTGGTGGGGCCTCTTCAGCTTAGTCATCTTACACTCATCCTTCCCCCATTCCCCATCTGTACAGTGAAGATAATAAGGGCCAGGGATTAAGTAACCGGGTGAAGAGCTTGAAGAAGCGGAGACGCGGTTATTCTAGGTGGGAATGTGGAGCGCTCTCCATAACACAATGAGGCTTGTGACAAGGCTTGTGCCTAGCATCTGGACCTGCTGAGGCAGGTATATATGAAACAGGAAGGTTAACTGTAGTTTTTAATTTGTTTTGTTTCAATACCAGAGGCCTCAAACCTAGCCCAATCAAATTATGTATTTGGGTTCTCTTAAAACCGGATAAACCAGCTCTTTGGGCCAAACTGCCTAGGATTCAGATTTTGTGAAAGTGTCCTCATTTAGCGTTCAGTTAGAGAGAAAGACTTTCCACCGCGATTTGAATTCATGTTTGAATTGGAACAGTAAAGCCTAGTGTAGCCCTCATGCCTTCTATCCCGTTTACACAGGCACTGAGGCAGGAGAATAACTTGAGTTTAGGAGTGCCAGCAGCCAAAGTGGGACGATGTACTGATGCTATTTAAAAAGAAACAACACCCCTTCATTCTGAAAGCCCTCACCCCATCCCTTGGGGTCCCAGACCCAGGACCAGGCATACTTTAGGCAAGTGTTCTATTGTTGAGCCAAATGCTCCTTTATCCTGAAGCTGGGTTGGTTGCTCTGTCACTCAGCCCCAGGTAGCTGGGGTTATTGTCCTGTGACACTAGGCCCAGCTACTCTATCTTTTATAATAGCTGTGAGCACAACTTGTTGACAGCCTTTTGTTCCTAAGAAGAGGCAGTGTCTTGGGTAATTATGGCCCCCTAGTAATGAGCATACCTCTTACCTTAAAATCACAGGCTTATGGGATGAGAGAGTGGAGAAATACGGCATTCATTTCATTATTGGTAACGGAAAACCATAGACTCACCATTTGATTCCGGTCCAGGATTCTATATAGCGTAGAGCAGATTTATTATGTTAATAAATATATTCTTTCAATAAACATCGGGCACTCAGCGGCTACTGCCAGGCCTAAGGCTGAATACTTTGTACTTAGGGACTTTTCTGTGTGGGGAAGGGGAAAAGGCAAACATGGGAGGGCTTTAGAAAGGCATCTCAGCCGTGTCCTGCCAGGCGCTCACCAAGCATCAAATAGGCGCAGGTTACAGGTGGCTGCTGGAGCTGCGGGAGCCATCGGAGTCCAGACAGTGCTGTGAGCCTTGACCAGAAGGCAATAGGAATGTCTAAACCGTTTTACTGGGGGTTCTGTTGCTCCTGACATGGTAGAGTATGTTCACCCACATCAGTAAGTGGGACTGTCTGTGGGACTGTAGACCTCGATGGGTCAGGGACTGCCAGAAAGTAGCCGCTTTTCACAGGACACTTATCTGGAGCTCACAGAAACCTTAAAAAAAAAAAAAAAAAAAAAAAAAGCAATGGTTCCTCACAAGCAGGTTTGAATCAAGCTTTTTTCGTTGGCCTCCAGTTCACAAATAACACCACCAAATTTATTATTATGAAAGCTTGGGCATTAGCTTAGGCTTGTGTCAACTAGCTCTTAAAACTTAAATTCATCCATATTTTTTAAACCTATGATCCACCACGTGACTTTTACCACTCTCCCATTGTGTGTCCTATTCATTCTGGTCTGGCTGGCATCCCTGGCACACCTAGATTCCTCCTTATGACTTCCTTCCTCTCTGCCTGGAAGTCCCTCCTCTCCTCTGCTGCCTAGGCCAATCCAGTAGCCATTCAGCTTTTTATTACACCAGTGACCCCAACACCTCTTCACACAATGTGCAAACAGCACGCAACACAGGTCCTGTGGAACTGTCTTCTGTTGCTGGCTGGGTGGCAAAGCTCCAGAGTGGTGAAGATGCTGCCCACCAGTGGGCCACAGTCAGAGCACCGGGCAGAGCCTGAGAGATGGAGGCCCAGAAATGCCAGGGAAGCAGTGCGGGGTTCAGAGACGAGCATGTGAATGAATAGGAGTTCTTATGGAAAGAAAACAGAATTGTCTGGTGGCAGTCTGGAGTGCTCTGCATGCCTCTCCTCCCTCCCTCGCCACGTTGCTGTTCTTATGTTTGTCGTTGACGAGGAGGGATGGTGACAGTGACCTACTCCATGAGGCTGTGCTGGTTGCATAAGTGTGTGTTTGGAGCATGTCCTATGTGACAGGTGCTTGTAATTAGCCAGGCCTGGTGGCACAAGTAAAATCCTTGCCTCCTGGAGGCTGGGAAAGGAGGATTCCAAGTTCAAGGCCACCCTGGGCTCCTAGGTAATCCCTGTCTGAAAAAAAGTAAAGCAAAGACCTAAATGTGATTCAACACAAAATCCTAAGTTCACTTAAAATAAGAAATTTGGGTGAGGTTTTTTGAATTTTGTTTTGTTGTAACTGGATTGTGTAGTTCTCGTGGGTGAACTTTGTGGATGGTGTTATTTCACAATGTCAAAGGTTGGCTGTGACTGCCCTCCACTTCAGTCCCCATTGAACACTTCTGTATGTTCTGTCCTGATCTTGTCTCTACGCATCTACCCAAACCCAGTTTCATTAACTTTATCCCTCTTCCCAGAATTCTCCTTGTCCTGCCTCTACTTCCTACCTGGTCATCCCGCCTATACTTCCTGCCTGGCTACTGGTCAAACAGCATTTATTTAAAATACAAGTGGCAGGGTACAGACCATTGTCCCACAGCATCTTCCATCAGAGTTAGGACTGTACCTCCCCAGTCGTCTCCTGTGGCCATCTACGGAGCGGGGGATTTAGCCAGCAAGCCACGTGTGGCATGTGCTGGAGTTGTAGCAAGCCACGTGTGTCCCGTGGTCGATGCTGGGATTGTCATCCTCTCCATTAGCTAGCATTACATAAACAGATGGTACACGCCTTCTTTATTCTTACTCCTCGCATTATTTGACAGTCTCTGCATAGCTTCATAGATCTCTGAAACTGAAGCCAGAGTCCCTGCTCTTTACACTTTTCAGGGAAGATATAAAACAGTTGACTCCCAGAACCCTTGAATCAGTGTGCCCCATGGCCAGAAGGACTGGAAGGAATTTCAAATGATTTTCAGTGTGATGAACAGTATGCATTCTTAGAAGTCTGTAAAGGACTTCAGCTGCAGAGTGAGCTAGTTTGTATTCTGTGGTTTCTGTGTGGGTCACATGGCATGGGTGAGCGCACACACAGCATGCATGTGTCTCACATGTGGGTCATTGGGTGCTTTCCCCCTTTTGTTTGAGACATGGTTACTGCTCTGGAACCTTGCACATACTGATGAAAAAACTAAAGAGAGAGATTACGTACTTCATCTAGATATTGATCTACACCTGTAAACCTGGAGGAATAACAGACCGCCACAGCATTCTCAAATCCTCACACATCCTGAGTGAATGATGGGCATTCTGGGAGCATGTCTCAGCATTATAAAACAACATGGCTAATGACGGGTCCTTAAGGGACCACCCTTGGACCTGCCTGTCTTTGCCTATGTCTTCCAGCACCTGGCTTTCCCATGGGTTCCTGGAATCCAAACTCAGGTACTCAAGGCTCCGGAGACAAACTCTGATCACACATTCTTTTGTTAATTTGTTTTATTTTAATAATAAAGCACCATTGAATACAAAGAAGGATGTTGACAGTACCTCTCTGTAACTGTACCTCGACAGCTCTGCGGTCTGATCTTCAGGCAAGCTTTAGCTGTTGGATCACAAACAAAATACCAACACACACACACTTTAAAAAGTTTGTGAGAAGCCGGGCGGTGGTGGCACACGCCTTTAATCCCAGCACTTGGGAGGCAGAGGCAGGTGGATCTCTGTGAGTTCGAGACTAGCCTGGTCTACAAGAGCTAGTTCTATCCCTCCTCCTTCTTCCATAAGGCAGTGACCACTGAATCCTGCATCATTCATGTGTCTTGTAAAATGCAGATTTATCACATTTGATTTCCAGAGTCATAATAAAAACCAGGTGTTCATGCCCTGTCTCTTGGAACAATCTTTTT